GAGAAATCTCAAAAGCGTTCAAGCGTGTGATGGGTAACCAGGTTAGCACGGGAGGCACTGGTCGCACACTAGGCCTTCGCGCACAAAAGTGTAGAGAGGCGTACAGCAGTACATGTTGCACCAATGGTGGTGCGTAGCAGCGTCTGTGTGTTGTTGTTCGAGACGGCTCTGGCATCCCACGAGCTAAGTGAATCCCCCACAGGACCGAAGCGAGATGACGAGAAGGGAGGGGAGTGGCCGGTGAGAGAGGCCATCGGCAGCATGATGTGGGTATCAACGTTCTCGCGTCCAGACGTCTTTTTCGCCGTGCGTGCGGTAGCGCGCCACGCCCACGCCCGGCGAAGAGGCACTGGGATGCCATACAGATGATCCTCGGCTACTTGAAAGGGACGAGGGACCTCGCCATCACCTACCAACGGGGATCGGGGTTAGGGCTGGCCGCGTATGTAGACGCTATAATGGCTACGCCGACACGGAGGATAAGCGTTCGGTGTCAGGGTTGGCGACGACGGTTGGTGGTACCGTAGTCAGCCATGGTAGCAAGACACAGAACATCATGTCGTTGTCTTCGACGGAAGCCGAGTACATTGCTGCCGGGGAGGGTGTCAAGGAGGCGTTGTTTGTGCGTGCTGTGCTTTCGTTTGTCGCCCCAGAGACCAGTGGTAGCAGCATCCAGGTCCTTGAGGACAACCAGGGGGCCATAGCGTTAGGCTAGTGCAGTCTCCCTGGTGCGGCGGCTGGTGAGTTCCGCCGGGTTGTCGAAGCGGGCAAGCCGCCCGGCCTCTGGCCCGAGGAGCGCCGGGAGATCCATCTCGCTGTCGCTGTCGCTGTCGCTGTCGCTGCCGCTGCCGATGCTGCTGTTGCTGCTGCTGCCGCTGCTGCTGCCGCTGTCGCTACCGCTGTCGCTGCCGCTGCCGCCGCTACCGTGGCGGCTGCTGCTGCTGCGGTCGTCCTCGCCGCCGCCCACATCGGCCATGCCGGCCGACGTGGTGGATGGGGCGACGCTCGCTCCCTCCCTGCTCGAGGGGGCGCCATCGCCAGCGTCGCCAGCGCCCGACTCCTGGGGCGCGGCCGGCCGCGCGGGCCCCGGTGCTGTCGTCGTGTCAAGGTTGAAACCTGGTTCTCGATCCACAGGTTCACCCTCCGCCCTCGCTCCATCTTGGCTCGACGCGCCCTCCCCAACCTCGTCCTCCCCAGTCGCGAATTCCTCGTCCTCTGCGATGGGAGGCAGCGACTGGGGCAAGGCGGTGGGGGCAGCGGGTAGGGATTGCCAGGTGAAGTTGCGAGTTGTGATCGCTCGGCGTTTTTCGTTGAGGATGCGCACGCAATCACGGTTGGTGTTGATTCCCGGGCCGAGGTAAAAACACTTTTGGGCTTTTGGCTCGGACTTGTGTGTGCGCTTGACCTTGTATACGGCAGGTTTGAGGAACGGGTACGTCGCCCCCGGCGGGGGAGGGTGCCCGTGCCACATCTCGTACGGCGACTTCTTCTCTGGGTTGGATGTGGTGGAGGTGCAGTTCAGGGCGTTGCATGACCAAGCTATGGCCTCGGCCCAAAGGGATGGGTAGTTCGGTGCTCCGGGGTAAAGAGTTGGTGCTTGGATACGGACGGCTAGTGCTGCATCCTTGATCAGACCCAGTGCTCTCTCAGCTACACCGTTGTATTCTGGTGAACTCCTGTTTGATGCAGTACTTCTGGCATACCCTACCGAACTCTCCCTCAAAATACTCTCCTCCGTTGCCAGATCTCACGACCATGACATCGGACGTGGCACCGTCTGCCCGGTTTTCTGCAAGGTACCTCTCGAATACCTCAGCTGCGTCTGATTTGTGCTTCAGGAAATAGACACGGTTCCACCTTGTGTAATCATCCTTGACAATGAGAGTGTACCACTTTCCCCCCAAGCTCTGCACCCTAGCTTTTCCACTCAA